GATACGGTTGGCAACGATACTGACTATGAGGATGACGATGATGACGATGATGCGTCTGCCGCTGATGATGAGTTTTGCTGATAGTGGTGATGACGATGCTTGATGTAGTGGTTGTGTTAGAAGTGGCTGTGGTGGAGGCGATGATGACGGTGATGGTGATGATGATGACGACGGTGGTGCTGATGACGATGCTGATCACGATGCTGATGGTGATTCTGATGATGATGTTGATGATCATGGCTCTGCCGATATCGATGTCGATCGCGATGATGCTTGTGATTGTGCTGATGCGATGGTGGTGATAATGCGGGTGAAGATGACACTGATGACTGTGATGCTGCTGCTGATGATAATGACGACGACGACAATGACGACCACGTCGACGATTACGATGCTGATGGTGCTGATGATGACGATGATGTTGATGACGCCGCCGTCGAGGACGACTATCACGACGCCGAGGACGTCGACGACAACGACGTTCGCGTCGATGACGCCGACGACGACGACAATGTTGATTATGCTGGTAATGGTGCTGATGATGCTCCTGAGGGTGATGATATTGATGCTGGTGATGCTGAGGATCATGATGGTGCTGCTGCTGCTGATGATGATGATTATGATGATGTTGATGGTGTTGCTGATGATGGTTATGATGATGCTGCCGAGGGTTCTGAGATGGTGATAATGGTAATGGCGATGGTGGTGGGGATGCTGATGCTGATGCTGACGACGGTAACGGTGACGATGATTATGACGATGCTGGCAATGATGGTGATGCCAATTATGCTGATGATGATGGTGAGGCTGATGATGATGATGATGACACTGATGCTTATGACGATGTTGATGAGATGTTCCATGATAGGGATGGTGGTGGTGATGATGCGGGTGGCGATGATGCTATTGATGATGCTGATTATGTTAGTCATGATGCCGATGATGACGATGATGAATGATGCTGATTCGGATGATGGTAACGACGCCGATGAAGATGATGACGATGATGACGATCACACTGATGACGATGATTCTGATGATGCTGGTGATGGTGATGATGATTGTAATGATGGTGATGATGAAGATGGTCATGACGATGATGCTGATGTTGATGCTGATGATGATTGTGATTATGATGCTGATTATGCTTCTCATGCTGAAGCTGGGGATGATGATGATGATGATGATGCTGATGATGATGATGATGATGATGATGATGATGCTGATGATGATGATGATGATGATGATGATGAGGCGGGGACGATGATGATGACGACGCTGATGCTGATGGTGATGATGATGAGTGTGATGCTGATGATGATGATAGCGATTGTGATGATGGCGATGCTGATGCTGATGAAGATGATAATTGTGATTGTGATGATGACGGTGATGCTGATGATGATGATGGTGATGGTGATGGTGATGGTGACGACGATAATGATGATGATGATGATGATGATGATGATGATGATGATGATGATGATGATGATGATGACGCTGACAATGATGATGCTGATGAGATGTTCCATGAGAGGGATCGCGATGGTGATGCTGCGGGTGGCGGTGATGCGATTGCTGATGATGATCATGATACTGATGCTGCTGATGATGTTTCGGACGATGATGACGACGACTATGAAGGTGATGTTGATGATGCCGATGATACTGATGATAATTATGACGATGATGGTAATGTTGATGATGATGGTAATGATGGTGATTACGATGATGATGGTGATGATGCTGATGATGATGCTGATGATGATGGCAATGCTGACGATGATGCTGGTGGTGATGATGATGCTGCTGACGATGATTATGGTTGTCATGATACTGACGATGATTCTGCTGACGATGATGATGATGATGATGCTTGTGATGGTGATGATGATGACGATGACGCTGGTGATGATGATGATGATGATGATGATGATGATGATTATGACTCTGATGATGCTGATGATGATGATGTGACATCGACGACGATGATGATGTGACGACACTGATGATGATGGTGATGATGATGATGGTGATGGAGATGGTGCTGCTGATGATGATGATGACGATGATGGCGATGATGATGATGATGACGATGATGACGATTGGTAATGATGGTGATGACGATGATGGTGGTTGTGACGATGATGATGATGATGATGATGATGATGATGATGATGATGATACTGATGATGATGATGATGATAATGTGATGATGGTGATGATGATGATGATGATGATGATGCTGATTGTCTTTGATGATGCTGACGCTAACGCTGACCATTCTGCTGTTAAATGATGATGGTGATGATGCCAATGACGTCGACGATGTTGATGATGATGAAGACGATGATGACGATGATGATGATGATGATGATGGTCATGTTGATGATGCTGATGATGATGATGATGATGATGATGATGATGCTGATGGTGATGATGATGAAGGTGCTGGTGCTGGTGCTGGTGATGGCGGTGATGATATAGATGATGCTGATGCTGGTAGTGTTATTCACGGCGGTGAGGGTGATGGTTGGCGATTGTGGTGATGGTGACGATACGACTGCTGGTGCCACTGCTGCTGCTGATGATTTTGATGATGACGGGGGTGACGAGGATGACGACGGCGACGATGTTGATGATGCGGCTTCGCGCGTGGGCCCTGGGCGGGATCGCGCGCCTCGACGATTGGGCGCTGTCGGCAGGGCAGCGGGGAAACGAGAAGGATAATCATGAGGAGAAGGAGGAGGAGGAGGAAGAGGAGGAGGAGGAGGAGGAGGAGGGAGGAGGAGGAGCAGGCGGAGGAGGAGGAAAAGGAGGGACAGGAGAAGGA